CAACTGACTCGTATTTGTGACGGTTTGCAGCATCCCAGGGTCATGTGATCCCCTTTTGCGATCTTCTGACAAGCAAAGTCAATGGGGAAGCCAGATTCACTTAACGACGGTGCTACTAAGTTAACGACTGCAGGGATTTGCTTAAACCCTGTGGCAGGAAAGGTGGTAAAATGGGGCAAAATTCACTTAAGTGTCTTACTTAACAATGGAAATTTCTGCCTCAGCTGTGGTCATAACTCAAGGATTACCTGTTTTTACCTACCTGATCTCTTAGTAATAATAACAATAACAATAACAACAACAACAACAACAACAACAACAATAATAATAATAATAATAATAATAATAATAATAATAATAATAATAATAATAATAAAGTTGGAAGGGACCTTGGAGGTCATCTAGTCCAACCCCCTGCTCAGGCAGGAAACCCTATACCATTTCAGACAAATGGCTGTCCAGTCTCTTCTTAAAAACTTCCAGTGTTGGAGCATTCACCGGTTCTGGAGGCAGGTTGTTCCACTGGTTAATTGTTCTAACTGTCAGGAAGTTTCCCCTTAGTTCTAGATTGCTTCTCTCCTTGATTGGTTTCCATTCGTTACTTCTTGTCCTGCCTTCCGGTGCTTTGGAGAATAGCTTGACTCCCTCTTCTTTGGGGCAGCCCCTGAGATACTGGAAGACTGCCATCATGTCCCCCCTCGTCCTTCTCTTCATTAAACTAGGCATACCCAATTCCAGCAACCGTTCCTCATATGTTTTAGCCTCCAGTCCCCTGATCATCTTTGTTGCTCTTCTCTGTACTCTTTCTAGAGTCTCAACATCTTTTTTACATCGTGGCGACCAAAACTGGATGCCGTATTCCAAGTGTGGCCTTACCAAGGCCTTGTAAAGTGGTATTAACGCTTCACGTGATCTTGATTCTATCCCTCTGTTAATGCAGCCTAGCACTGTGTTGGCTTTTTTGGCAGCTGCAGCACACTGCTGGCTCATATTTAGGTGATTGTCCACTAGGACTCCGAGATCCCTCTCACAGTTACTACTATTGAGTAAGGTACCCCCTATACTAAACCTGTGCATTTGGTTTTTCTTGCCTAAATGTAGAACCTTACTTTTTTCACCACTGAATTTCATTTTGTTAGATCAGGTAAGAATGAATTCAACCAGGGGCTCCTATGATCTTCATCTAATATATTCCACCCCTTAAGCTTCTCAGCAGTTTCTCAAACTGAGTCAGGTCCGCAAATCATAGAATTATGACACAGAGAGAACTTCATTATTTTTCTCAAGTGTCATTTCTAGACGGAATGACCGCATTAAGCGATCAGGCCAGACTCCAGATTACTGTATCATAAAATGACATTAGCAGCAATTACCCTGCCTCAAATAAAGCGAAGCCCTGAATGCTAATGCAGCCCTAAAAGATTAAAATGCAATGAACGCTGTTTTTTAAAGTCAAAAAAAGGTTAATGAAATGTTTTTCACGGGAAGGGAAATTTGCATGCAGCCTCCACACACACACCCCATCGACAGCCTAAAAGCGATTAATAAAATCAAGTCGACGCAGCAAATGGGGGTGCTAGAGGCAAAATTAATTTAGCACAAGAGAAAAAAAGCTGAAAGGGCTAACATCTTGAAAGAGTTTGATGAAAGAGAGTATATTTTTGAAGTATCCTGACATATTTGGCAATGTACAAATATAATAAAAACATTTTTAAAAAATCACATATGGCTTACGCAGAAAACACTCCCACCTGTGGGGTCCTTGGTGCTGAGATGGTTGTTCTCTTGCAGACGTTTCATGACCCAACTAGGTAACATCCTCAGTGCTAGAAGGGAGGGGGGTTTGTAAGGAGGAGGAGGGAGAGGAGGAGGAGGGGAGGACTTTGGGGTCCTTGGTGCTCTCTGAGCTTGGGTGTCTTTTTGCAGATGTTTCATGATCCAACTAGGTAACATTGTCAGTGCTAGAAGTGGGGTTTGCGAGGAGGAGGAGGAGGAGGAGGAGGAGGAGGAGGAGGAAAATGACTGTGGGGTCCTTAATGTTCTCTGAGCTGGGTGGTTTTCTTGCAGACGTTTCATGACCCAACTAGGTAACATCGTCAGTGCTAGAAGGGAGAGGGGTTTGCGAGGAGGAGGGAGAGGAGGAGGACCATGACTGTGTGGTCCTTGGTGCTCACTGAGTTTAGTGGGGTATTTTTAGACGTTTCATGACCCAACTAGGTAACACCATCAGTGTTCAGAGGGAATAGGGCTGCTCCTGATTTTAGTGGCTAGTACCCCATCTTTGGAGAACCTGCATGACTCAATACTTACCCTATGACAGGTCTCTAGGAAGAGCGAGATAACAGAGAGTCCTCGACCTACAATCGTATTTGAACCCACAATCCCAGACCCAAGTTGGGCTGGTCATAAAGAGGATCGCCACTGAACGGTGCCCAATTTGGCGCCTTTTCGTGGTTGGTAATTGAATGCCGCCGTTGTTAAAACGAACCCATTGTTCACTACATGGTAAATGCAGGCCAAGCACCCAAAGGGCTGTTATGTGGCTGTGTGTGTGTGTGTGTGTGTGTGTGTGTGTGTGTGTGTGTGTGACATGCTGGTTGGGGAATTCTGGGAGTGGGAGTCCACACGTCTTAAAAGTTGCCAAGACTGGGACCCTCTCATCTAGACCATGTTTTACAACTTAGCCATTTTGAGTTGGGTGGACTTCAAACTTACATTTTTTTGTTTTTAATGTTGCGCCAGCTTCCACAAGCGACAAGCCACACAACTGCTGGTTAAGTCCCCTATGATTTTGGACCCTAATTTTATTAAGGTTTAAAATGATTGGCCTAAAGTCACTCAGCTGGCTGTCATGGCTAAGGCGGGATTAGAACTCACCATTCCCTGATGATTGGTCCAAAGTCACTCAGCTGTCATGGCTAAGGCGGGACTAGAACTCACCGTCCCCTGGTGATTGGCCCAAAGTCACTCAGCTGGCTGTCATGACTAAGGCGGGACTAGAACTCACCGTCCCCTGGTGATTGGCCCAAAGTCACTCAGCTGGCTGTCATGTCTAAGGCGGGACTAGAACTCACCGTCCCCTGGTGATTGGCCCAAAGTCACTCAGCTGGCTGTCATGTCTAAGGCGGATTAGAACTCACCCTCCCTTCTTGTGATTAGCCCAAAGTCACTCAGCTGTCATGGCTAAGGCAGGACTAGAACTCACCGTCCCCTGGTGATAGGCCCAAAGTCACTCAGCTGGCTGTCATGACTAAGGCGGGACTAGAACTCACCGTCCCCTAGTGATTGGACTAGAACTCATGTTCTCCTGTTTTCTAGCCTGGTGCCTTAACCACTACACCAAACTGTCTCAAACTGGCTATTGCTGTTTTATGATATTGTAAGCCACTCAGAGTCTCCTGACAGTGAGATGGGCAGCATATCAATTTAATAAACACACAAATGTCTGTATCCAGACTATTTGCTACTGAGCTTATAGATATTTTGTAAAAAAAACAACCCTTTCCATCCAGGATTTCCTGGTGGTCCCCTCTCCAGCCACATAACCTGTGATGAGCTAATTCTCTGTTTAATATGTGAGCAGGCAATCCTTCAGTCCAAAAAGTCCACCTGATGCAGATGTTGTGCCAGCTTCCACAAGCGACAAGCCACACAACTGCTGGTTAAGTCCCCTATGATTTTGGACCCTAATTTTATTAAGGTTTAAAATGTCATCGGCCAGATGCACAACTTCTGCACAATAGAAAACCAGTATGTATAAAAGACACCTTTTCTGTTCTCCTTTCGCCGAATTGCACAATGAATTAAAATGCCCACCAGAACCGTTCAAACAGCTCTCCTTTTTTTGTTTTCTGGAAGGCTTCAGAACAGCTACCTCAGCTCTTTGTTTTTTTCAGGTGTTCAGGGTTTGAATCTTAACAAATTCTTTATTTGGGGGGAAGGGGGGTTGGGCTGGTGCAGGTATGACGGCATCTTTGTAAGACTCAGAGGTCTATTTTTTTTCTTTTTTTTTTGGCACATCTAGCAAAACAAACCGAAAACCCAGAGAGGAGATCATGGACAGATGCTTCGGGCCGATATGTTTTCCTGACATAAATTCTTTTTTTTTCACTTTAAGTAAAAAAAAAAAAAAGCACCTCTCACTGAATATCAAAAACAATATCAAAAACAGTGACTGTGAGAGGGACCTTGGAGTCCTAGTGGACGATCACTTGACCATGAGCCAGCAGTGTGCAGCAGCAGCCAAAAAAGCTAATGCAATCCTGGGTTGTATAAACAGAGGCATAGAATCAAGATCACGCGAGGTATTAATGCCGCTTTATAAAGCCCTAGTGAGATCACACCTGGAATACTGCAGTCAGTTTTGATCACCATATCACAAAAAAGATGTTGAGAGTTTGGAAAAAGTGCAGAGAAGAGCAACTAGGATGATTAAAGGCCTGGAGACTAAAACATATGAAGAACGGTTGCAGGAATTGGGAATGGCCAGTCTAGAAAAAAGAAGGACTAGCGGGGACCTGATAGTAGAATTCTAGTATTTCAGTGGCTGGCTGCCACAAAGAAGAGGGGGCAAATTATTTTCCAAACCACCAGAAGTCAAAAGGATGGAAACTAATCAAGGAGAGAAGCAACCTGGAATTAAGGAGAAACTTCCTAACAGTGAGGACAATCAACCAGTGGAATACAAATTGCCTCCAGAAGTTGTGGGTTTTTAAGAAGAGACTGGACAGCCACTTGTCTCAAATTGCATAGGGTCTCCCTGTTCAATCAGGGGGTTGGATTAGAAGACCTCCGAGGTCCCTTCCAGATCTATTCTGAATTGAATAGATCCTGTGAAAAGTGAACTGCTATTTCCCCTCCTTTGGCAAACGGGAAGCCACTGATTAACACGGGCCGTTTGAAAAATGGCCAAAGAACAGAACATCCAAGTTATACGGATGCAATTTGGACGTAGAAATGAACTTTTTGGAGAGAGAGAAAGAGAGAGAGAGAAAAAAAATAGAGAAGCATATGGCTTTATTATCCTTTGATCCTCCAGCTCTAAAATGCGACCCTCATTCCAGCGTGTACAACCTCGTCAGTTCCGTTTTTTTCTTTCTTTTTTTTAAGTACAGCACGTGTAGGATTGTTGTCGTTGTGCGACTTGGCGGTGGCAGTGGGGGGGGGGAAACCAGTCACATCTCTTGACTCCTGCAATGAAGCCTGCCTGGGCTATATATATCTATCTATATATATATCGATTCCTGTTCATCCTTCTCAGAAATGGACCCTCGAAATGTCCTGGGTGGCAAACAACCTTTTGCAATTCGTACACAAGATGGAGAGAGATTTCTGCTGCTCAGCCAAGCAAGCGCGACACACCAGGTGCCTGCAGGGAAGCTGGTACACGGCATCGGTTTTGAAGTACAACGAAAAGCCTCGGGAACAGGAAGAGCATCCTTGCGTGCTGAGGCCCCTGTTGTGCTCTGTGGGGGAAAACAAAACAAAAAAGGAGGGGGAAAAATACACAAAAGTGAAAACGTGACAACTCAATAACTCGACGGTTGTGTTTTGGGTGGCTGGCTGGAGGCAGTCCTGCTAGACCAGGGGTAGGCAACCTTGGCCTTTTTATGACTCGTGGACTTCAACTCCCAGAATTCCTGAGCCAGCCATGCTGAGGGGAAAGGGAGAGGTTTCCAAGCTGAGCCATGCTGGCTCAGGAATTCTGGGGGTTGAAGTCCACGAGTCAGAAAGCGGCCTAGGCCTAGGCCAGAGGTAGGCAGCCTTGGCTCTTTTATGACTCGTGGACTTCAACTCCCAGAATTCCTGAGCCAGCATGGCTCAGCTTAGAAACCTCCCTTTCCTCTCAGCGTGGCTGGCTCAGGAATTCTGGGAGTTGAAGTCCACGAATCATAAAAGAGCCAAGGTTGTCTACTCCTGTGCTAGACTAAAGAAATCTATAGATGTAGCTGATCAGATCCACGTTGATGTATTAGTATCGCCCCTTTATTGTTTTTACAAATAAGTCAAGGTGGCGAACTTATCCAACATACCTTCCTCTTCCTGTTTTCCTCACAAAAACAACCCTGCGAGGTGGGCTGGGCTGAGAGTTAGTGAGTGATTGGCCCAAAGTCACCCAGCCAGCTTTCATTGGTAAGGCAGGACTAGAACTCACTCTCTCCCAGTGATTGGCCCAAACTCACCTAGCTGTCTTTTGTGCTTGAGGCAGCACTAGAACTCACCATCTCCTGGGGATTGGCCCAAAGTCACCCAGCTGGCTTTCATGCCTATGGCGGGACTAGAACTCACTGTCTCCTGGTGATGGGCCCAAAGTCACCCAGCTGGCTTTCATGCCTATGGCGGGACTAGAACTCACTGTCTCCTGGTGATGGGCCCAAAGTCACCCAGCTGGCTTTCATGCCTATGGCGGGACTAGAACTCACTGTCTCCTGGTGATGAGCCCAAAGTCACCCAGCTGGCTTTCATGTCTAAGGTGGGACTAGAATTCACAAGCTCCTGGTGACTGGCCCAGAGTCACCCAGCCGGTTTTCATGCCTAAGGTGGGACTTTAACTTTAAATATTAATTTTAATCCATCCTTGCCTTTTAAAATTTTATAGGCCGTTTTCAGGTTTTCATATTTTACTTGGGCACTATCCCCCTGTGAGAGAGATGGGCGGTCTTCAGAATTCGATAAATACATAAATAAAAATTCAGCAGGTATAGGGAAGCGAGCTATTTTTCGTATGGGTGAAAGAGTCAAACCCCCAAGGAGCCTGGCGGGCAGGCAGGCAGGGGACCCGGTCCCTGAAAAGTAGGTCGAAGACGATGAGTGGGCCAACTTTTTGCCGGCTTTACCGTGAGCACCGCCTGACCCAGAGAAAGTGCTGGAGCTGCTGCTGCTGCTGCTGCTGCTGTGGACGTGTTGCCCGCCTTTAGCCAAAATCGCAGTGAACGGCATCGTGCTAAGTGCGGAGTTCAAGGCACTGTCCAAGCTTTCGGACAGCCTCTGTTCATGAGTCACCACTTCTGTAAAGAGAGCAAAAAAGATCTGGGAAGAAGCACCGTGTAAGAGCCAAATACCAAATACCTCCCTGGCCGGTCAAGCTACCCAAATCGATTTATTTGTCATCTATCTATCTATCTATCTATCTATCTATCTATCTATCTATCTATCTATCTATCTATCTATCTATCTATCTATCTATCTATCTATCTATCTATCTATCCTATCAAATCTATCAAATCTATTTATCTATCTATCTATCAAATTTATCAAATCTATCAAAGCTATCTATCTATATATATCAAATTATCAAATCTATCTATCTATCAAATCTATCAATCAAACCTATCAAACCTATCAAACCTATCAATCTATATCTATCTATCTATCTATCTATCTATCTATCTATCTATCTATCTATCTATCTATCTATCTATCTATCAAATCTATCTATCAATCTCTATCTCTATCTCTATCATCTCTATCTCTATCTCTATCTCTATCTCTCTATCTATCTAAGCAAAAGCCAGTCTGGGTAGCACGGCCAACAATCAGATAAAAAAATAGCAAATAAAAACAAAGCTGACTTTGGGCCAATCACCAGGTGACAGTGAGTTCTAGCTCTGCCTTAGGCATGAAAGCCTCCTGGGTAACCTTGAGCCAATCACCAGGTGAGGGTGAGTTCCAGTTTGGCCTTAGGCATGAAAACCGGCTGGGTGACTTTGGGCCAGACACCAGGAGAAGGTGAATTCTAGTTCTTCCTTAGTTGTGAAAGCCAGCTAGGTCACTTTGGGCCAGTCCCTCTCTGTCTCTGTCTCTCTCAGACCAACCCACCTCACAGGGTTGTCATAGTGGGAAAAATAGGAGGAAGATGTGTTGAACATGTCCACCGCCTTGAGTTATTTATAAAAACAATAAAAGTGGAAGACCAACCAACGAACAGAGACCGTGGTTGCAGAAGACACTTGCAAACCTCTGAAAACGATGGCCAAAGCTATTCAGAATATTAAACAGACACTCGGCTAGCCGCCCCTAGAGGTGGACGGATCCCGCAGCAAGTTAAGAAACCCGAAGGCTCGGGATACCTGTGGAACAATCCATTTGGGAAGAATTCAAATCCCATTCCATTTTCACCCTCTTCGCGTGGGACCCCAAGCTGGACGCTACGGTCGAGAAGTGGCCGGGCTCCGCCGTGCCCTCCTGGTTCTGATCCACCAGATCGATTTTCCGTTTGAGCGAGGACATGGCTAGGGACGAAGCGACCACCGTCCCCGTGGCCCGGCTCCTCCCCAGCAGATTCACGCCGGGGATGTTGTGCTGGAGGAGGAAGTGGTCTATTCTCGCCTTGAGGGGCGGGTGGGGAAGGGGCTGGGAATGAGGGCCGAAAGCCACCCCGGTGAACGGGTCGCTGGGCACCCGGCCCCACGTCGCCTCGCTGCGGTTGCACTTCTCCAGGGTTCCTTGGTCGATCACTTTCCCGGAAGGAAGCAACATGGGCAGAGTCATGACTTCCAGGGTAATGGGGTCCAAAAATTCTTCCGGGATGTCCTGGAGAACCTCAACCAGCTTCTGCTCCTGGGAGTCGGAGTGTCCGAAGGGCACGACGACGTCGCTCTCCATGGGCAGAGGAAAGCTGAGGAGTTGACCTCCCGGGGCTTCCAACGAGGATCTGGTGGCCACCTGGAGGACATCATCCAACACTTCGTGAGAGCAGGACTTGGCCGGCTGGCCCCAGACCTCGACTCTCTTGATGCAAGGGAGGCCACTGCCCGCTACATGCGTGATGCAGATTCTCAGGTGCGAGACGCTGTTCAAGGACGTGGGGCCTTTATTCCATAAGTCCAAAGAGGCCGAGCCGGGAAAGGAGAGCAGGGGGTCTGTCTGGTGATGGAAGGGAAGCCTGGGCCGGAAGCCGCGATGGCCGAAGGTCACTTTGCTCTGATTTTTTAAGACAGCTTTGCCCACCAGCGTGAACGTCTCTTTGTCCAACGGAGGCTGCTGGCTGGACGGAGCGGAGAAGGGAGGCTCGGGATTATTCCAACCGGCCTTGTTAGACGAGGTAGACGTATAAATATCCAACCCGGTGATGTTGTGGCAGCTGCCGGAAGACGTGTCGATATTAATCCGGCAAATTTCCACATTGAAGGGGAAGGAAATCGTCACCTGGACCGGCGGCTTGATGAAGTATTCGCAGCGGAAGCCGCGATGTCTCTTGACGGGGTCTTCGGAGATGAGGTTTTCCGCTTCGTAGCCGTCGGCGGAAATCTACAATTGAGGAGGGTGGTCAGTGACGGGGAATGCAGGCGGTCCTCCACCTACGACCACAATTGAGCCCCAAATTTCCGTTGCTAAGCGAGACAGCTGCTGAGTCAAATTGGCCCCATTTTACGACCTTCCTTGCCAGTGAATTATTGCAGTTAAGTTAGTCACCGGCTGCCCCACTGACTTTGCTTGTCAGAAGGTCGTAAAAGGGGATCACACAACACTGCGACTGTCATAAATAGGAGTCAATTACCAAATGTCTGAGTGAAGCGACCACGGGGTAATGCTGCAACGTTAAGTGTGAAAAAAAATATGGAAATAAGTCACTTTTTTCAGTGCTGTTGTAACTTTGAACGGGCCACTAAAACAAGCTGTTGTAAGTTGAGTACTACCTGTAGACTGGACAACCGTTTGTCCGGGACAGTATAAAGTCTCCTGCTTTGAGCTGGAGGTGGAATAGCAATAGCACTTAGCGCTTAGACTTATATGCCGCTTCACAGCCCTCTCTAAACGGTTTACTGAGTCCGCCTATTGCAGCCCCCAACAATCTGGGTCCTCATTTAATGACCTCGGAAGGATGGAAGGCTGAGTCAACCTTGAGCGAACTCCTGGCAGTGGGCAGAGTCAGCTTGCAATACTGTATTCTAACCACTGCGCCACCATGCATGGATAGATGGGTAGATGGAGAGAAGGAAGGGCAATAGCAATAGCACTTAGACTTATATACCGCTTCACAGTGCTTTACAGCCCTCTCTAAGCGGTTTACAGAGTCAGCCTGTTGCCCTCGACAATCTGGGTCCTCATTTTCCCGACCTCGGAAGGACAGAAGGCTGAATCAACCTTGAGCCCCGTCCGGATCGAACGTGGGCAGAGTCAGCCTGCAATACTGCATTCTAACCACTGCACCACCAGGACCCTCCCTTCCTCCCTTCCTTTCCTTCCAGCTCCCTCCCTTTTTCTCTTTCCTTTCTTTTCCTTCCTTCCATTCTCTTTCCTCTTTTTCCTTCCTTCCTTCCAGCTCCCGCCCTTTCCTTTCCCTTTCTTTCTTTTTCTTTCTTTCTTTCTTTCTTTCTTTCTCTTTCTTTCTTTTCCTTCCTTCCTTCCTTCCTTCCTTCCTTCCTTCCTTCCAGCAACCCCCTTTCTTCCTTTCTCTCTTTCTTTCCTTTTTCCTTCCTTCCTTCCCTCCCTCCCTCCTTTCCTTAGCACGTAGCAATAGCATTTAGACTTATATACCGCTTCACACTGCTTTACAGCCCTAAGCGGTTTACAGAGTCAGCCTATTGGCCCCGACAATCTGGGTCCTCATTTTTCCAACCTCGGAAGGACGGAAGGCTGAGTCAACCTTGAGCCAGTAAGAATCAAACTGCTGAACTGCTGGCAGCTGGCAGTCAGCAGAAGTTGCTGCAGTACCGCACTTTAACCACTGTGCCACCACAGAATTGGAGACCAGGGAGGTCTTCTAAGATTCTGTATTTTATGTCCTAAATCAGGGGTGTCCAACTGTCGGCCCACGGGCCAGATGCATCACACGAAAGCCGCACCCACCCCAGCTCCAGCAAGGGAAAAATAGCGGCGATACGTCGTGACACACGTCACGTGACACGGCAACCTTGACACCCCTTTCCTAAGAGAGCTGTTTGCCCGATGCCGGTGTGCATGTTCTGAAAAAGGGGATGCATAAAGCAGCAAGGAGTTCCTCTGCCCAACCGCCGCTGACTTTGTCATGCACTGTTGAGTCACCATGTCCCTTGATCCCTACGACAGTTGCCTCCGCTGATACCCAACTGCTGTGCTCCATACCAAGTCCTCGGCCTATTTCGCTGATGTTGTACAGGAAGTCCTCGACTTACAACAGTTCATTCGGTCGACGGTTCAAAGTTACAACAGCACTGGGAAAAGTAATAATAATAATGATANATAATAATAATAATAAAGTTGGAAGGGACCTTGGAGGTCATCTAGTCCAACCCCCTGCTCAGGCAGGAAACCCTATACCATTTCAGACAAATGGCTGTCCAGTCTCTTCTTAAAAACTTCCAGTGTTGGAGCATTCACCGCTTCTGGAGGCAGGTTGTTCCACTGGTTAATTGTTCTAACTGTCAGGAAGTTTCTCCTTTGTTCTAGGTTGCTTCTCTCCTTGATGGGTTTCCATCCATTGCTTCTTGTCCTGCCTTCAGGTGCTTTGGAGAAGAGCTTGACTCCCTCTTCTTTGGGGCAGCCCCTCAAATATTGGAAGACTGCTATCATGTCTCCCCTCGTCCTTCTCTTCATTAAACTAGGCTAGGGGTAGGCAACCTTGGCTCTTTTTATGACTCGTGGACTTCAACTCCCAGAATTCCTGAGCCAGCCACGCTGAGGGGAAAGGGAGAGGTTTCCAAGCTGAGCCATGCTGGCTCAGGAATTCTGGGAGTCGAAGTCCACCAGTCATAAAAGGGCCAAGGTTGCCTACCTCTGGACTAGACACCCAATTCCAGCAACCGTTCCTTTTATGTTTTAGCCTTTAGTGACATAGGACCGTTCTTCACACTTACGACCGTTGCAGCATCCCCGCGGTCACGTGATCAAAATTTAGAGGCTTGGCGACCGACTCATACTTATGACGGTCGCAGTGTCCCGGGGCCATTTGCAACATTCTGACAAGCAAAGTCACGAGGGAGCCAGATTCACTTAACAACCGTGTTACCAACTCAACAACTGCAGCCACTCCCTTAACCACTGTGGCAAGAACGGTCGCAAAATGGGACCAAACTGACTGAATTCACTGAACTGTCTTGCTTAGCAAATGGAAATTTTGGGCTCCCTTGCGGTCGTAAGTGGAGGACTGCCTGTGTTGTGTTGTGTTGTGTTGTGTTGTGCTGGTACTTTTTTGAGGGCCCCAAATACCTTGTTGCAGTGAATCCTCGGCTTGAACTGTGGAAGGCAGACATTGATCACCATATTTATGGCTGTGGACGGAAATCGGCTTCCCCGATTTTTAATCCGGCTCTACGATAAAAACACAGAATGTTTTTTTTTAAATCCCAGCAGACTGGCAAGAGAGGATCATAAAAAAAGCACAGGTCATCCTCAAGTTACGACCACAATGGAGCCCAAAATTTCTGTCACTAAGCAAGACAGTTAACTGAGTTTTGCCCCATTTTACGACCTTTCCTGCCGCAGTTAAGTGAATCCCCTCTTGACTTTGTCGTAAAAGGGGGATCACACGACCGCAGGACACTGCAACCGTCGTAAATATGAGTCAGTTGCCAAGGGTCTGAATTTTGATCACGTGACCCCGGGGGACTCTGCAGTGGTTGAAAGTTTGAAAAATGATGACGTCAGGGGATTTTTTTTAGGTGATGTTGTAACTTCGGTCACTAAACGAACCGTTGTAAGTCAAGGACACGGGGATGGCCTAGAATAAAGGTGTCCAACCTTGGTCACTTTAAGACTTGTGGACTTCAATTGCCAGTCAAGGACCACCTTTACAAGACACTTCTGCAGGCAAGCTGTGTCACTGGTTTGTTAATTAATTGAACGAGGAGGCAGCAATATAAAATTTCCAAATAAATAAATTTGGTGCAGATGTAGGAGAGATGCGAACTCGTGACGAAGGTTGATAAGCCGCGAGGACGACACTCGATGCCTACATTCTCCACCAGGGTCAATACGACAGGTCGCTGTTCCCAATTCTGAGGGCAGGATCGCCATCCAGAGTCTGGGAAAGCTATTGGCCACTGCCATTGTGGGACTTTAATTAATTAATTAAATTCTTTTTAATGAAGGAGAAGCTGCCTAACAGTGAGGACAATTGACCAGTGGAACCGCTTGCCTCCAGAAGTTGTGGGTGCCTCATCACGGGAGGTTTTTAAGAAGAGACTGAGCAATCTCTTGTCTGAAGTGGTATAGGGCTGTGGTGGCGAACCTATGGCACGCGTGCCACAGGCGGCACGCGGCGCCGTCTCTGGTGGCACGCGAGCCATTGCTGGGCCGAGCTGCTCCCTCCTCTCTCTCCGCACATGCGCAGTCTGGGATGAGGCAAGAGGCTATAAAGGGAGCAACTTTCGGCGGAAGCAGGCACGGAAAGCGAGGCAGCAGCCCTGTGTGCGTCCCCATGCGCGAGCGTGCCCCTGCCCTGCCAGGCAAGCGGAGTTGCGGCATCTTCAGCAGAAGAGCGCAGGTGGGCAGCGGAAGGCACGAGGAGCCCCAATCCTAGCACAGCCCCTCCTCCCCCCCTCGGAAGAACTGCGGGGCTCAGGAGCCTCCCCCCATGCCCCCCACCCGCTGTGCAAGATGCCCTCCTGCCCACTGCCCCACCCGCCAGAGCAACATCGAGTTGGCCACGCCCACCCAGTCTGCCATTTCCACCATAGCCACGCCCATCCAGCAATACATAAGTGGGATTTGGGTTCCGGTTTGGGCACTCGGTCTCTAAAAGGTTCACCACCACTGGTATAGGGTCTCCTGCTTGAGCAGGGGGTTGGACTAGAAGACCTCTGAGGTTCCTTCCGGCTCTATTCTGATTGACTTTTCAGAACTCGTGATCAATTGGGCAAGCTTGGAATACAAGGCTTGGAATTCTGAATGGTGCTTTTGTAACAGTGGAAGGGCCTAGAATACAGATGTCCAACCTTGACCACTTTTAAGACTTGTGGACTTCAACTCCCAGAATTCCCCAGCCTGCATAGCAGAGGTCTCCAAAGGGGGCAATTTTAAGACTTGTGGACTTCAACTCTCAGAATTCCACTGCCGGCTGGAGGATTCTGGGAGTTGAAGTCCACACATCTTCAAACAGGAATGGTTGAGAAACACCATAGTAGAATCCTGAAAAGGCCTTTAACGCGTTTCACACCAAATGTCTGAAGTGGGTTCGAGGAGAGCCGTGCAGTTCCCACCAACTTTTGCCCACTGAAATTCACTTTCCTATTTTTCCAGGTGGTTTGAAATTTTACAACTGAACGGGTCTCTCCAATTTATTAAGTTGTAATAATTTCCTTCAGAAATTCTGGGCGTTCCATCATTGGAGGTTTTTAAGAAGAGACCGGATGGTCACTTCTCTGAGATGGGGTAGGCCACCTTTGCTCTTTTATGACTGGTGGACTTCAACTCCCAGAATTCCTGAGCCAGCCATGCTGAGGGGAAAGGGAGAGGTTTCCAAGCTGAGCCATGCTGGCTCAGGAATTCTGGGAGTTGAAGTCCACCAGTCATAAAGTGGCCTAGGCCTAGGCCAGAGGTAGGCAACCGTGGCTCTTTTATGACTGGTGGACTTCAACTCCCAGAATTCCTGAGCCAGCCATGCTGAGGGGAAAGGGAGAGGTTTCCAAGCTGAGCCATGCTGGCTCAGGAATTCTGGGAATTGAAGTCCACAAGTCTTAAAGTTGCCAAGGTTGAGGACCCCTGATATAGGGCAGGCGTGGGGAACCTTGGCTCTTTTATGACTCGCGGACTCCAACTCCCAGAATTCCTGAGCCAGCCATGCTGAGGAGAAAATGAAAGGTTTCCAACCTGAGCCATGCTGGCTGAGGAATTCTGGGAGTTGAAGTCCACAAGTCATAAAAGAGCCAAGGTTGCCTACCCCTGGTGTAAGTTCTCCTGCTTGAGCGGGGGGGGGGGGGGGGGCTGGACTAGAAGACCTCCAAGGTCCCTTCCAGCTCTATTCTATTCTAATGTGGTGTGCGTGTGTGTATCAAAGTTACCTTGTTCCTCTTGAGCTCCAATTTGGCCTTCAATTCATTGTATTCTTCTATTAGACAGTCTCATGATATTAAAAGTCTGGTGGCACCTGGAAAGGAATATAAATTGTTTTGATATAATGGCCAATCTGAAAGTACGTGCAATATCATTACCGAAGTTTATTAAAGTTGCACAGCAATATGATTTACACTCTGGCTCAACTGGAAAACATGGTTAATTTGCTGTTAATTTGTAGCCTGGGACAGGTGGCTGAGGAATTCTGGGAGTTGAAGTCCATAAGTCATAAAGAGGCCACAGTTCTCCATGCTGGCTGAGGAATTCTGTGTGTGTGTGTGTGTGTGTGTGTGTGTGTGTGTAAGAGCAGTAGCATCTTCCAGTTTACAAAAGCTGCTTCTTCACGGATTACTGATAAGCCTTCGGGTGGTTGATGCCAATATTACAATGTCGGTACTCAACTACAAATTCTTCATTTCATAAGCACTTCAGTCTATAAAGCTAATTTGGATTCTACCAATCAATGTGGGAAAAGAAATAAACCATAAATTTAAAATATGCAAAGATTAATCAACAAAGGAGGCTAAAACGTACGAAGAATAGTTGCAGGGATTGGGTGTGTCTAGTCTAGTGAAAAGGAGGTCTAGGGGGTGACATGATGGCAGTCTTCCAATATTTGAGGGGCTGCCCCAAAGAAGAGGGAGTCAAGCTATTCTCCAAAGTCCCCGAAGGCAGGAAAAGTAGCAACGGATGGAAACTAATCAAGGAGAGAAGCAACCTGGAATTAAGGAGAAATTTCCTAACAGTGAAGACAATTAATCAGTGGAACAGCTTGCCACTAGAAGCTGTGGGTGCTCCAACACTTGAGGTTTTTGTAAAGAGATTGGACAACCAGAATGGTCTCGGTCTCCTGCTTGTGCAGGTTGGGCTAGAAGACCTCGCAGGCCCCCGCCAATTCTGTGATTCTGTTAGCTTTATTTTTCAATGATAACATTTCCCCATCATTAGAAGCAATGGTTCACAGCATCCTCGAAGGGATTAGTCTACGGATTGGGAAGGGGTGAATGGATGGTATAGGATGGTTATAAAATACAGTAGTGGCCAAAATTGTGGAAACCTTTTGGGAAAAGTGTACAGTAAAAATGCCACCTTTGGTTTAAGTTTCCACCCATTTTTCTTCTAATTTCTTTATAACTGTAGCCTTGTTCACTTGATAACACTATTTTACATCGCTTTCTGGGTGACCAGTCAACTCTTTGCACCATGACTTTAATTTTATTATGTTTTGCAAGCTCACTCAATGAAAGAACACAAAAAAACCCAACCAACTTGATAGCCATCATATAACACACTGACAAATGTCCTCCTCTCAGCTTCAATACAGGAGATCGATAACCGAATCCGACTGTGATCTGATTGGCTCATGGCCAAAACAAGGTGACACCCGATTGGCTCTCTAAACACTCACGCTCATTGGCTACAATCAGAGGAAGGAAAGCTACCTGAGATCCACCTGAGGAAGTTGTGCTTCCTTTTTCTGGTTATTTGGCTATAACGTTTCATAGAATACAGTACGGATAATTGAACAAACTTTGTTGCATTACATTCTTGATTAAATTATCTTTCCATTGATATGTAATTTTATGGTACTACTCCAAAAAAAAAGCGGTGTTATTAGCCATCAAACCTCAAAAATACACTTTTCCCAAAAGGTTTCCACAATTTTGGCCACTTCTGTATTATAATACCAGTGATAATTAGCCACTCTCTGGAAAAGAAAGGCAAGACTGAAGCCTAAATAAACAACGAATGTGAATCTTAGAGCAACAACTATAATCCCATCATTAGGTGAGTTAGGAGATCATGCTGAACAAATTTTAATCCATCTTCTAACTCAAGTGTTTCTCAACCTTGGCATCTTGAAGATAGGTGGACTTCAACTCCCAGAATTCCTCAGTCAGCTGTTCTGGCTGGGGAATTCTGGGAGTTGGAAGTTCACCTATCTTCAAGATGCCAAGGTTGAGAAACACGGTTCTAACTGAAGCCATCTTGGGTTCTGTTCTCCCGTATCAGCCTTTGTTGATTCGACACGGTGCAGCAGAATAAATAATAAATCTATCTATATAAATAAAAATGTAAATGTTCGTTTGTTCAAAATCTTAAATCTCCGAAAGTTCTTCACCGATTGCTTTGAAATTTTGACACAACGTTGCATTCGAATACGCGCGTGTTTTTATATACCTACTATTATATAGATGTCACACCTGTGACCGGTAAAAACATGCTTTTTTAAAAAAACAGCGCCATCTGTTGGCTGAGTGAACGAGAGCCACAGCAACGCGTGGCCGGGTACAGCTAGTAGGTAAATAAGTAGAATAAATAAAAACACACAAAAAGCCATAAAAGTATATTTTAATTGCGGTAATGTTTTCCAGTCACTTAACTGGGGCATCCAGCTTTCCCCTTTTGGCATGCCAATAATTTTGAGCAAAGAATTAAAGCATTAAAAGCGGGATGCGACATTGCCCAACTCTTTCCCATTCGCCAAGCTGCGTTTTCTTACACCGGTGGTTGATCTTGCCTACTGGAGTAATATCTAGGTAGTCCTCGACTTACGACCGTTTTGTTTAGCGGCCATTCTAAATTACAGAAGGCACTGGAGAAAAAAAGCGACCTCTGACCGTTTTTTCACACTTACAGCCGCCGCAGCATCGTGGGATCAAAGTTCAAAGGCTTGGCAGGGGACTCACATTTATGACGGTCGCAGTGTCCTGGAATCACGTGATCTCCTTTTGCGACCTTCTGACAAAGCAAAGTCAGTGGGGGAAGCCAGATTCACTTAACAACTGGGTTACTGGCTTAACGACGGTGGCAAGAAAGGTCGTAAAATGGGGCAAAATTCACAAAATGTCTCGCTTAGCAACAATTTTGGGCGTTAAGTCGAGGACTGCCTATCCACGTGCAAATATATATCCAAGTGCCTAAATTCACTTTATGGTAACTTCAAACTTCTCTCCATGTAGGTTTGTTTCTTCATTTATTTGGTGTGCAATGCAGAAGTGATTACCCAATGTTTTCCTTTTCTAGGATATATCCTGACTTCCCAATCTAACCTATATTCCAAGGATTTCTTAGTGGCCTCCCATTCAAATAATAACAAGGTCTGATCCTACTTACAGTAGTGGCCAAAATTGTGGAAACCTTTTGGGAAAAGTGTATTTTTTAGGTTTGATGGCTAATAACACCACTTTCTTTTTGGGAGTAGTACCATAAAATTACATATCGATGGAAAGATAATTTAATCAAGAACGTCATGCAACAAAGTTGGTTCAATTATCTGTATTCTATGAAACGTTATAGCCAAATAACCAGAAAAAGGAAGCCCAACTTGCTTAGGTTGATATCAGGTAGCTTTCCTTCACCTGATTGGCCACCACTGTAGCTTCCAAGATCAATCAGCGTGGGACGGACGCTGCCGCCCACTCCGATTAATACGCACACATTTTGCAGTTCTCTTTCTGACTCGTGTGTATATATGCGCACCCCGAAAGCATTTTACATTTCTTCTGACATCTCCCCAAATTCAGGCAAATTTTAAATTCCCATGAGCGAGATGCGCTCCCTCAAATGATGGGCAAATGAATTGCTGGACTGTATATATACATAACGAATTAATTCTCAAAGCTTTGCCCCCCCCCCAGGTTTTTCAAATGATGATGGCTGGTCCTTCATGGGCGAAGTGGTGGAGCACGAGTAAAATAAAGTTGTATGAGTAGCAGCGTTTTATTTGCTTAAGGATGAGCGCGAAATCCCTCCGCCCTCAGAGAAACAGGCTGAAAGCTAGCATGCAAATACTGACTACGACGGTTTCCAGTTACGACGGTCACCTTAAAAGCTAAAAAAAACCTCAAGTCATTCCCCCCGAGGATTTTTAGTCCGGTTCTATGGAATGTTTTGGCTACGATTCGTATACTTTCTGGCACAAATACTTCCTCTGTTCCTCCCGGTTACATTTGAGTAACGGAAACCACTCCCAAAAGGGCAGTTCCACTGGTATATATCCAATTTGGCGGAGTTGTCTCCTTTTCATGGCGTGGAGTCCCAGCAGCTCTTTTGAGTGGTACCTGTATTGGTTTCGGTTGGTGACTTGAAGAGCTAATTTCACACATTCTGGCTGCTCCTGGTTCGTCGTAGAGGGTCGTCCTTCAACTTTTGCCTCGGCTGAAGGGTCCAAACCAGGTCCGGCATCGGAAAACTCCAATTTTTTCCAAATAGGCAGTCCACGAAAGTCTGCCTTTTGCTGAATACCTTGGTTTTTCTCGCTTGCGTCAGGCCGGCCGAGCGATTTCCCTTTCAAAAGCCGGTGAATCATGTTATCGGTCAGCAACGTGCCCTTTTTCTTCAGTTCTAAGCGCTCCCTGGTGGCCCCTTCCGAATTAAACGGCAACGGCTTCCGGCTGGCGTCTAAACGGACTTCTAAATCCACGGACCTGACATGGGGCAAGACGGCGTGGAGCTTGACAAACTGGGGGCCCCCCAACACGTCCTCCAGGAGGGACCACGCCGCCTCGAATTCCTGCTTCAAGAAATAGTCCTGCATTTTCCCCGCCATCTCCTGTTTGCTTTGGACGCTCAGACGACTGCCGGCGTAGGCCGGACACTCGATGCCCACCGTCCCGTCCAGGGTGAAAAAATCTTTCCAGAGGTCATGTTTACAGACGCTGCTTAGCTGGATAAACTCGGGACTCAACACGTAGTCCAGCAGTTCGTAGGGGAAACGCTCCACGAAGGCCAAACCGATCAAGGAGGTGATCAAATGCTCGGGAAATTTATTGTACTCGAACAACCTCGACTCCAGCTGCTCCAGCAGGCTGTCGTAAAACTCTTCCCCGTTGGGAGGGTGGTAGTTCAAGGTTCCAAAAGACCACAACAATTTCGCGATGTCCTTGGTTCTGCAAGAAGCCGCCTTGGGAGGCACCACCGCCGCAATGGCGTTCAGGATGTCTTCGTCGCAGTAGCGCAACGAGGAGCAGGCGAATGCGATGTGCATGACCCCCGGCATGCTGATCGTGGAGATTCTGGGAGGAATGGCATGCCCGAGTTCCTTTAGAAAGTCCACGTGATCCAAGTGAATCCCCCGGAGCATTTTCAGCACGTTCACGATGGCAAAACTGCTCATGTCTCCCAGGGAGCCACAAATTTTGTCTCCGATTTTTCTCAAGAGAGGCTCGGACATGTTACTTTGCGCCTTGAAGAAGCCCAAGCAGACGACTCCCACTTCCTCCAGACTGAGAGCCTGCAAATGTTCCGACACCGAGGCCTCCAACTTCTTTATTAACTCTTCAGGGGCCCGACGGCCTTCGCCGACGATGTAGACCAGCTGGACCAACTGGGTCAAAGACGGAGCCTTCCACTTCGCGTTGACGTCGTTCAACATCGCGTCCAGATACTGGGGGACTTTGCAGTTCAAGCAACGCCACAGATCGGCCACCAGCAGTTGCTGGTCCAAGCTCAGCAGCTCGACCCGCCGGCCGCATTCGGCTTCCACGACCTTCAACATATAATGGACGGGCGGAACGCCTAGGGCCACAAAAGCTTTCAAAAGCACGATCAGCTCGGCGTTCCCAAACCGCTGGACGCTCCTGACCACGCCCTGACAAAGCACCACAAAGCTCGAGCTGGACTTGAAGGCCTGACGTTTTTCTGCCGGCAAATGGCTCAGCCGGAAGAAAGAGTTCACGATGTCCTTGGGTTTCATGTACTCTTTCAACACGGAGACGTTCTGTAGGATGAAATGATACTCTTCGGCAGGAAGGGGCGGAAGGCGTTGATCTGGGTTGTAACACAGAGATTTGTACCCGGGCCTTTGCTTCTGGAATTGCCTAGCCACTTCCTTGCTGCTGCTTGCCTTGAAATGGACCTCATCCGGGTTGTTCCTGATGGAGGACAACAGCCAGGAATCCCTGGGAGAAACTTGAGTGCAGAAAGCTTTGCCGTTTCCCCAATCTAGAACACGGCTCTTTATTCTTGAAAGCCTTGGGAGACAGAGAATCCTGGGTGTGTTCTGGATGCCTCTAATATTAGTTCTGGAGCAAAGAGATTCAAGAGATCCTTCTCTCAAAGCTTGGAGGGCAACTTTGGGAAGGAGACCCTTAGATTCCCGGGAAATGGAAGGGTAAGGACTTAATTGGTAACCTGGTGGCTTCCATGCTTTGAGCACAACGGCAACTATAGGATTTCTGCCTCTTCTTTGGATGCTTTGGCTCGCTTCTTCTTGGGGGAAGCTCTTCGGGGTCTGCGCCTTGGGAAATGCAGTTGTCCTACAAGACCGCCCTGAAAATCTTCGGCATATTATCCTCGCAGACATGGTCACAATTATCAGGCCGGGTACTGAAAAAAGGGCAGATGAAGAATAAGTGGCTTCCACTTCTGCTGTCGTTATCAAGATACTATTCTGAGAGCGCTACATTTACCCAGAATCCAATGCGCTCTACGCCCAAAGAAAACCAAAAGAGTAACTAGAAACAACGCTACTTAGCTTTGCATGCTCTTTTTTTACATACATTTAGTAGTTAAGGCGCCAGGCTCGAACACAGGAAATGGTGAGTTCTAGTCCCGCCTTAGGCATGAAAGCCGGCTGGGTGACTTTGGGCCAATCACCAGGAGATGGTGAGTTCTAGTCCCGCCTTAGACACGAAAGCCAACTGGGTGATTTTGAGCCAATCACCAGGAGATGGTGAGTTCTAGTCCCGCCTTAGGCATGAAAGCCGACTGGGTGACTTTGGGCCAATCACCAGGAGACAGTGAGTTCTAGTCCCGCCTTAGGCATGAAAGCCGGCTGGGTGACTTTGGGCCAATCACAAGGAGACGGTGAGTTCTAGTCCCGCCTTAGGCATGAAAGCCGGCTGGGTGACTTTGGGCCAATCAACAGGAGATGGTGAGTTCTAGTCCTGCCTTAGGCATGAAAGCCGGCTGGATGACCATGGGCCAGTCCCTCTCTCCCAGCCCAACCCACCTCACAGGGTTGTTGTAGGGATAATAGGAAGTGGCAGGGGTGTTGGATATGTTCGCCGTCTTGAGGTATTTGTAAAACTAATAAAGGCGAGGAATGAATGAATGAATGAGTGAGTGAATGAAGGCACCCAGAAATGAAGGAATCAATTATTTCAGGACTAGGAAATCCCCCCCCCCCAATTGGGTTTATTTCTTATTCCTGACCCATATACCATCCTTGTATTTACAAAAAGACAGAAGCATGCAATCCATTGATAATTCCAATATCTGTCCTCCTCCCACAAACACGTATGCAAAAATACACACGGATATTAAACCTTGAGCACGCATCTCATCCCTCCCTCCCTTTCAATCTCTCCACCAAAAACCTTCAGGTTATCCCAACCAAGGTTTCTCTTTCAAACAATTCTGCCCTTTCCCTGACATCCTGGATGGATGTCATGGTTTTGCTGCTACGAACATCACCCAACTCTCAAACCCAAGCATGGCATCATGGCGCCTGAGTCTTATTTCCCTACGATAAGAAAATTGAAATAATGCATGTCCCTTTCTTAGTTGGCTCAATCAACAGTGCAAAAGTTCCATTTTGTACACTCTTCAATGTTAGGAAGCACAGATGCCTCCCACCCGGCCACTGGATACTCTGGGAGTGGAAGCCCACAGATCTTAAAAGTTGCTGAGGCTGTGGAACAATAGAGTAATGGCTACAGTGCTGGGCTAGCAATCAGAATATTTATTGTGAGTTCGAGTCCCGCCTTAGGCATGAAAGCCGGCTGGGTGACTTTGGGCCAATCACCAGGAGACGGTAAGTTCTAGTCCCGCCTTAGGCATGAAAGCCAGCTGAGTGACTTTGGGCCAATCACCAGGAGACGGTGAGTTCTAGTCCCGCCTTAGGCACGAAAGTCAGCTGGATGGCTTTAGGCCAATCATTAGGAGATGGTGAGTTCTAGTCCCGCCTTAGGCACGAAAGTCGGCTGGGTGACTTTGGACCAATCACCAGGAGAGGGTGAGTTCTAGTCCCGTCTTAGGCATTGAAAGCCAGCTGGGTGACTGAGCTAGACCTATTCTCCCTCACTCCAGCCCACCTAACAGGGTTGTTGTAGTGGAAAAAAACAGAAGATGGGAGAGAGATTCCGAGTGGCTCTCTCTGGCACGCTCAGAAAAGGACTGCCTGCCATGGTTTTACTCCAAAGCAACATAATATAAGGAATTTCTTAAAATATGATTTGGGTTTAGAAGGAACTTGAAACAGATCTCCAGTAACAAGAACTTAATTTTTCCTGGTCTCTGATGCCGCAAACATAAATTACTTGTTTGTTTAGAAGAATTAGCATCCCAAAAAAAGGAAACAGGAAGCAAAAGAACCTATCAGGGTTTGGCAAAGCCAAAACTAGCAGGACGTAAGAGACAGAGAAAGGCAATTGGGCAGAAAGGGGATAAACTGTATGTACTCTAAATTCTTATTTTTGTTTAAAAACAGATTCCAATCAGAACTTTTTGTTTTGTTTTCTGCAAAAACAAAACAAAACCCTGCGCAATCTAGGAAGATTAAAAGGATTACACCGAGGGCTTAACGTTCATTTTCCCAAGCCCACAAAGTGTTTAATCCTCACGTTAACTGTCTCTCTCTCAAATGAATCATATTCCATATACAGGTAGTCCTCCAGTTACGACAGCTCATTTAGGGACCATTCAAAGTGACCATGAAAAAAGGGACTTATGACCGTTGTTCACACCGACGACCGTTGCAGCATCCCTGGGGTCACGTGATCCAAATTGAGACACTTGGCAACTGACTCGTATTTATGACGGTTTGCAGTGTCCCCAGGGGTCACGCCATTCCCCTTTTGAGGCCTTCTGACAAGCAAAGTCAATGGGGGAAGCCAGATTCACTTAACCACCGTGTGACTAACTTAACAATCACAGTGATTCACTTAATAATGGTGGCAAGAAAGGTTGTAAAATGAGGCAAAATTCAGTTAACTGCCGCCTCGCTTAGCAACAGAAATTTTGGGCTCAATTGTGGTTGTTAAGTCGAGGACTAAATGTACTATATATACTGTGTTTTCCCGAAAATAAGACAGGGTCTTATTTTATTTTTTTTGCCTCTAAAAGAGGCACCAGGTCTTATTTTCGGGGTAGGACTTACCTCACCTCCGGCACCGACAGCCCCACCCAGCTGGTCCCGCTTTTTCTGGGGCCGAAGTTCTGCAGCTGCATTCGGGCCTGCATTTTGCAGTCAGGTCTTTCCGGAAGGCCTAAGCAGCCGAGTACCGAGTTACGGATTCAATCCATAGCTCGGTCCTTGTCTGCAGAGATCTTGCAAAACAGAGCTATGAATTGAACCCATAGCTCGGTTCTTGGCTGCAGAGGCCTTCCGGAAAGGCCCGTGACTGAGAAATGCAGACCTGGCTGCAGAAGAGGCCTCAGAAGAAGTGGGCTGGCGAGGAGAGGCCTGGCTGCAAGGAAAGCGGGTGCGGGGCAGATCCACATCCCCACCCCAGCTTGATTTTTAAGTGTGTGCCTCGCCCCAAAACTAGGGCTTATTTTGGGGATATGGCTTATATTAGGCCCACCCACAAAAATCAAGCTAGGGCTTATTGTTGGTGTAGACCAGGGGCGGGCAACCTTGGCTCTTTTGTGACTCGTGGACTTCAACTCCCAGAATTCCTGAGCCAGCTTGGCTCAGCATGGAAACCTCTCCCTTTCCCCTCAGCATGGCTGGCTCAGGAATTCTGGGAGTTGAAGTCCACGAGTCATAAAAGAGGCAAGGTTGCCTACCTCTGGCCTAGGCCTAGGCCGCTTTATGACTCGTGGACTTCAACTCCCAGAATTCCTGAGCCAGCATGGCTCCGCTTGGAAACCTCTCCCTTTCCCCTCAGCATGGCTGGCTCAGGAATTCTGGGAGTTAAAGTCCACGAGTCATAAAAGAGGCAAGGTTGCCTACCTCTGGCCTAGGCCTAGGCCGCTTTATGACTCGTGGACTTCAACTCCCAGAATTCCTGAGCCAGCATGGCTCCGCTTGGAAACCTCTCCCTTTCCCCTCAGCATGGCTGGCTCAGGAATTCTGGGAGTTAAAGTCCACGAGTCATGAAAGAGCCAAGGTTGCCTACACCTGGTGTAAGCCTTACTTTCGGGGAAACACAGTAGTACATATTGTCATCATTTTTCCTTAGAGTTCATCTTTTGTCTGTAGAGCTACTGCGACAAATAGTGTTATAATTTTCAAAGCAGAAGCCTCAGAGAACTGCACAATTTCTCAAGCTAGACAACCGAGGTACATTTTTCAAGTTATTGATGCTACTGTAAAATGAATGAATGAAGTCAAGTTCTCAATAATCCTAAAATAGAGAAATTCACTCGCTCAAGCCAACCTTAAGAGCCAGGGTGATAAACAGCCAATTAAGTGACTTATCAGATTATTGTTGGCCAGGAAAGGGGGAGGGGGGGAAGTTACTGGTAGTCCTCGACTTATGTCCAAAATTTCCACTGCTAAACAAGACAGTTGTTAAAACGAGTTTGGCTCCGTTTTCGCAACCTTTCTCGCCACTGTTCTTAAACGAATCGCTGCCGTTAAATGAATCATGTGACAGTGAAGCAAACCTGGTTTCCTCCATTGTCTTGGCTTGTTGGAAGCTGGCTGGAAAGGTTGACCAAGGGTGATCACGTGACCCAGGGACACTGCAACTGTTTAAGTATTTTATTTATTTATTTATAATTTAATTTATACCCCGCCCTTCTCCT